TCGCAGCGCCACAGCCGCAGCCTGTGCGTGGCGGACGGCGCGGCCAAGAGCGACCTCATGGTTTTCAGCCCCAACTTCCCTCCGCCGCCGCCCGGTCCTGCTGCAGAGAACGGTTCTGCTGGGAAGGGGCCGTCTCTCTCCCCTCTTGCTTCCAGCATGGTAAGAGTCTTCGAAAATTTGCGAGTTTTTTTCTCTCTCTTTGTTAGTGTGATTTACTTAATACATGAATCTTCGATGTAGCAAATCAACTTTTCTGTGATAAGAGTTTTAGAACGACCTACTAGCTTTGCAGTGTGCTGCATTTAGACTTGATGATCTGCCTTATTTTGAAATTTCATTTTCTCTATGCTGGCTATCCCTCTAAATTTCTGTATTTTCTTCTTTCACTTTAAAAAAATGTATCTTGCATCGGACGTTATTTTTTAAATGGGGTTTGTAATATTTTAGTTTTTAATTCCTCCTTGTAGTAAAATTGCTGCAGTAGATATTAGGGGACAACTTATTTTCCTGTTTTAAGCACCTTTCAACTTGTGAATTGTTCAGTAGTTTGCTATCTCCCTCAAGGTGAATGTAATTGCATCTTTGAACCAGGTGCCTTTACGCTTATTTGATGTCTTATCTCTCAAGCGCCAAGACGCGCTCATGAGTTTTTAGATTTAGAAGTTTTCTGATTGTCGTGATTCACCACTCTTGAGAAACTGAAATACATGATGTGATAATACTGGGGCTAAAAGAGCGGATGAAATGTTCGTGGACGTTGTGAGCGTTGTTCTGTCTCTGGAAGTCCATCGAAAATATATGCGTGTGTGAGGGTGGAGTGAAGGAAAATCAAGGCTGCTCTAGAGAAAAATGGAGAACTTTTTGAGAGAGGGGGTGGTAATTTACCGTTCCGCACGGCTTGATCTCACTCTTCATAATGATGGGGAGTCTTTTTTATTCCATCCATACAGAAATGTGCTGCGGAAGGAAGAGTCCAGATTTGGTAGGCGTTGAGAGAGGTGGGGAATTTGTTAAGGGAAAATTATAACGGCAAACTCTGTGGTATTCAGTGGTTCAGTGAGGGTAGGTTGAAAGTTTTTGGCTCTTTCAGCAGCAGAACAGGAAATACCAAGAGAACAGTTTCAGTACTTTTTTCCTCAGAGATTTCCCGACGCAGGGAGCGATTGTTTAATTACCGTGTTTTTTTCAATACCATCATTTTACAGCTGATCTTGTCCGTGCCCTGATGGCACTGAATTGATTCGGTTCTCATCTCGGCCGGATTCCAAGCACTCTTTCAGATAAGATTTCAGGGTCATGTTTAGCGCTTCTTGTCCAGTGTCAGAAAATTAAAGCAAATTTTAAAGGGAAAAGTGAAGATCTCTTCGACCTCATTTAATTTTCTCCATAGCTTAAAAGCGAAATGTGTAAAGCTGCCGGGGTAATAAAAACAAGCCATACGTACATAATTTCTTGTTATACATTCAATTCGTTTGGTTAACCCCCATAATTTTAAGACACAGTGATATCTGTAAACGCGATATTTTTATTTTGACAAAGTACACTTGGTTGGATTTTGAGCTAATAGAACTCTTTAGAGGAAGGACGTGGTGCTTTCTACAGACTATAGAATTTAAATGATGGATCGTTGCTTCCAAAATTACTAGAATGGTCCTTATGGATGTACAGAAAACAGCAACGAATTTTGAAAACTTCATGACCTTTTTGAAAAGTATCCTAGAAGTGGGTTATCTCTCGTCGATCCGTAGAAAAGCATTTGAATGTATCCCACGATTTTATCTTTTCTTCTCTTAGATCACTTAGTACCGGCTTTGAGGTCTTCGTGTATTTGCTGGGGATTGTTTATTTATTCTCTTTTGATCGTGAACGGGAGTCGCGTGCTGAAGGGAAGTGGTTCATCATCACTTAACTATGCGTGAACTACTTTGTTGGAACTCAAAATGTCCCTCAGACATTTTTGGAGGTTCCAGGCCTGGTCAGAAGCATTTTAGACCCTGGCAGGCAGCTGGAAACAGCTGTGATTTTGAGTTTGAGCCATGGAATGAGTTACCAACTTTGAAGGTGGAACAAGCAGTC